TAGGACAGAGTGTCTCAGGTAGGACAGTGTCTCAGGTAGGACAGTGTCTCAGGTAGAACAGAGTGTCTCAGGTAGGACAGAATGTCTCAGGTAGAACAGAATGTCTCAGGTAGAACAGAATGTCTCAGGTAGAACAGGGTCTCAGGTAGAACAGAGTGTCTCAGGTAGGACAGTGTCTCAGGTAGAACAAGATCTCAGGTAGAACAGAGTGTCTCAGATAGGACAGGGTGTCTCAGGTAGAACAGAATGTCTCAGGTAGAACNGTCTCAGGTAGGACAGGGTGTCTCAGGTAAGAGATGAAGGTGTTGGGCAGGTGTGAAGGAAATATAAAAGTTATTTTGAGTACATTTTAGTCAGCTGTGTGAAGTTAATGAAATAAATTACTGATCTAAAGACATAATCAAGCATGCTTAACTATTTATTTTGACCAGTATWAAAGTGATAGGCTTATTTAAATGTAACTTTTATTTGTAGGAAGTGGTAGAAATTAGTTTTCATGATTGGGATTTTCCCAGTTAAATAAAGGTCAGTAAATAAATCTGTCAATCCATCCATCATTAGCTTTCTAACCAGTTCCAAACATCCACATATTGATCTTATAAATAAATTTAAAAACCTCCTCTAAGCTTGTTTGGGATAATTTGTCACATTAATTTAATTATCTGAGTTATAACTGAGTTTAAAAACAGGATGATGCAACTAGTTTAATGAAGAATCTGTCTCCAGTCATTAAATCAGGTGTTTATTTATGTAGGTAAAAGTGTCTTTAACAACCTGTTAAAATACATTAGAAATCAGGAAATAGCTTTTAATTTATTCAAAATTTTCTGGGGGAGGACCCCCAAATCTCCCTCAGTGTGTCCTTTGCACACATTAAAAGACTTCTTATGTAAGAGGATAAACTAACACACCTGTGCTCCACCTGTGTGTCTCTGTATGAAACTATGGTTGATTATCAAACTGTATTCTTAGTGAGTTTAAAGGGCTGGTACAGTACATGTTGAATGAAGGTGAACATAATTTCAGTCAATATGGTTTGAGTATTACTGCGTCACAATAGAAACATTTGGTGTTCAGTTGTTGTCGAGTGCAGACAGTTAAACTGAGCACACACTGAAGACATGAATAAAAGAAAAACCTGGTCGCACAACTGTGGGTGCGTCAGACCCCGTCCCCCCACAGTGCGTCCCCACCAACTTTCAACACAAAGTTACGCCCTTGAGACACATTTATTAAAAGAAAAGGGTTTATTCAGGTTTTTTAGCTTTACAGACCGCAGCTTTTGTGTGTGACTTTTCTTTTCTGTGTTTGTGATTTCCCCACCTTCTCTGGTATAAAAAAGGAGGAAGAAAAGATGGGTTAAAAACATTTTAAAATGCGGGTTTTAATGCTCGTCTCTGTTGCAGGTTCCCTTCAGAGAAGCCCACAGTCTGTCTGGAAAAGCAGTTTTTACGGCAGAAACCAAAAACATCACCTTGAATCAACTCACTGTGACAGACCTGTCTGCTGTCAGGTGGCTGCTTCCTCCCCTCACATCATTATGATTCCTTTGATTTTTACCAGCTCAGACAATACTCCCCCCTTTTTTTTAAATCCCACTTTTCTCTTTTTCCTCACATTTGTGTCGTGTCTCCTCAGCCCTCTGTTTGACGATGACGTGTCCTCGGTGTGGGACTACAGGAGCAGTGTGGAGCAGTACAGCGCCCCCGGAGGCACAGCCAAGAGTAGCGTTGCTGCGCAGGTGGAACACCTGAGGAACTGGCTGAAGCAGCAAGCACAGTGACTTTAATCCCGTCTTGAGCTGTCAGGTTTAGGTCAAAGTGAATTACTCACATCCGTACAGTTAAACTCAGGATGTTTTTAATAATCATGAACAAGTCTTACCTGATCAGTGTTTCATAGCTGACAAAATCAAAATAAAATGCTGTTACAGACTTCCCTTTTAATTTATCTTCCCTGATGGGACCTTAATCATAGGTTTCTGGTATATTCATGTGGCCTTTATTTAAACATAGAGTTTAAAGTTTAACAAAGGTACAACTTTATTTATTCAAAACGTAAATATATACTTAATATTTAAAAGAAAGAACATCTTAATTGAAACTACACAGACACAATCAAAAAGATAAAATAAGTAGCTCCTCTGGATGGGTTCTTCTTTAGTGAAAGGTTTTGTCTCTCCTCCAAGAGACTTCTTCAGTCTGATGAGTTTCAGGTGAAATCAGCCTTATAAGCATTGCCTCCACATGGACAAACAGGTTAGTCACATGTAAAAGAGGGCCATTGCCTAACAATAGGCTTGATTAGCTCTATTTAGTCACAGGTAAAAGAGGATCATCGCCTAACAATAGGCTTGATTAGCTCTATTTAGTCACAGGTAAAAAAAAGAGGGCCATCGCCTAACAATAGGCTTGATTGGGTCATGTGCCCCATCACCTGACTTATTGGTTTGGATGCTTCGGCTGTGGTTGTTTGGTGTTTTTGTTATGTGAATGTAGTGAGTGCAAGCGGGGTTCAACGTCCCCTACACAGACACAAAGACACAAATGTGGTTTGAACTGTTCATTTATTGTTGACTACTCTAAATCTGCCATCACACATCTTCCAAGTTTTCATTCACTCATGTCGGTCACATCTTACAAAGCAATGCAACGAGCACTGTGAGCAGCATCAGATCCAAAGCAGAGAGAAACAGAGGAGAAGTTTAGATTGGCAGAAAATCCCAGTGGGTTTATGTACGTCTTATTTTGGTTTTTATCAAAAATACTTTTTTTTTATTTATATATTTTCACCATGACCCACTGGTGTGTAGAAGTTGTGTCCGTTCATCTGACTCGTTTTGTCTTTGTTGCCTAAATCATCTGTTCAGTTTCCATGTTAGTGTGTTAGAGTCACTATGATGAGAAACCCTGAGAAAACACTAATCCATAAGTGGGTCACTCTCTTCTGAGGCGTGCCAGACTTGGAGCTGTACACCACCCTGCCGTCCAGGGGCTGTGTGGGTCTGTAGATGTCCGTCATGGGTTGTCCCGTCCAAAACTGACACTGTGCAACTATCGCATCCAGCTGTAGAGAGACAACCGAAGGGATGGATGGAGACAAGGAAGGTATAAAAATAATGTTTTTTGCTTATAAAATACAACAAAGAAACTTATCAATTAAACTTTTAGCATTTATTTTAAGTCCCCTTAACTGGAAGTCAACAATAGATATTTCAATTGATGTAATCGTGTTCAACAAATAAATCATTTGATGGAGAGTTTAATAATACAAAATTCTGTAATAAATATAAAAGCATTTGTTTGAAAGATAACACTGATAACAGTGCAAAAAAATCATGCTGCTGATGGTTGCATCTGCAATAACAGGAAGTGATGTCAAAGGGGAATGTCTGCATGTGAACAGAGCGTTGCTGCAACAGCTAATAACACAAACTGAAGAGAAGAATCTGATTTTTCTTTAAATTATTTTCAGTATCAGAGAGATGAAGAGTGAGAGATAAATAATGTTAGACTAAACATAGATCAGAGTTCCTTTTCTTAAAAAGATCCCCTTTGATGTCACTTCCTGTTTCACCACGCCTGGTTAGTTCAAAGAAAATATGCCAGTTATGTTACTAAATATGTAAAATCATGTGTATTATGCAATTTTCTTAAATATAAAGAGGTTTTCTTTGACTTCCTGTATTTGAAGAATAATGTCACAGGAACTTTAAAGTTTTTTTCACCTGTCGACTGCTGATGGACAGCGTCCTGTGAAACACCGTCCACTCCACTGCCTGCTCACATCCTGGGGTGGTCATGGAGCCCACGTAGCGGTAATAACTGTGAAGGTCTTTGGCCGCTGGAATGATGTCATTGAGTCTGAAGTTTGGGATCACCGTGTTGCTGCCTTCAAGAAACGAGAAGGAAGCCAGACCAGTTTAAACAGATCCAAGCACTTTTATTTGTCTGTTCTCAAAGTACAAACAGAATTTTATCCACCGTTGTATTTTGCTCGGCCCAGCGCAGCTATGATGCTGTCCAGATGTGGATGATCAGCTGCTGTTTCCTGTAAGGAAGCCACCGCAGACATCCTCAATGGTTATGCATATTTGGTCAGTCCTTGTGGAGTCATGACTTTGAGAAGATGTGTTACCTCAAACAGGAAGGCAAGCAGAGCTATACCTGCTGTGTCCTGTTCTGCTTCTTCCAGAGAGTGGAATGGCTCTTTGATGTGGACTATGTGCAGCTGGACAGAGAGAGGACAGGTTTAACTGGGCGTGATTAACGCTACAGTTCAGGAGACCCTCTCTTGTTAGTCCTGTACCTCCATGGGATATCTTTCTCCATCGATGGTGTGCTCTGACCCCGGTCTCCCACTCCCTCCTCCCCAGTGGAAGTGAAAGCGGAAGGCTCTGTAGTGGCCCGGCAGGCCTCCTCCAGCCAGTCGCACCGACTCTGGCAGACCAAAGTGAGCTAAAACAAAAGAAGGACCAGAGTTGTAAAGTAACTAAGTACAAATACTTTCTTACTGTACAGAAGTAGAGTTTTTGGGTATCTGTACTTTGAGTAATTTATTTTCAGCCTACTTTTTACTTCTACTTGTTATGAATTAGTCTCTGTCTGCCCAGTCCCAGTCTTGTTTCATGTTTATCCAGTCTCATGCCCACTCTCAT